GCGCGCGCGCGCGCGCGCGCAAGGAGAGGGAGGAGACGGACGAGCTCTTTCCTTTTCCGGGCTGTTTGGTATTCCACTCCATCCCGTCCACTAGTCTTCCGTTCCACCCCCGTCCGCAGGTCACCCTGGGTTGCTCCCAGTGTGTCTTTTGATGGGCTTATGCGCCATTTATCCTGGAAAGACACCCAGGCTTGGGATTGCCCAGCTGTATGGTCCACGTAGGTTGAGCTGCACTGGAGACCGCCAAAAAGTTTCCCAGAGCAAATCCGTTGACACCCCCACCGGCAGTGCAAGAAATTTCCAGTTGTTCAGCGTTCTTGTCGACGCACAGCAGGGTCAGTTTGTTTAAATTTTAGCCATTCTGCGGAGGTCGTCTTAATTTCTCCTGACTTCTTAGTTTGCATTTCCTTGACCGTTGATGTAGTTGAGCAACTTTTCCACGCCCGTGGGCCATTTGGACATCTTTAGGGAAATGACTGTTCCAATGCGTTTGTCCATCGTTACGAAGGCTGTCAGTCTTTTGCTTTTTAGGAAGCTTTTATATAGTTTGAATTCATATTCTGTCCATTGTCAGATACAGGTATGTGTTGCGAGCTTGTTTTCTTTCTTTCTTTCTTTTTTTTTTTTTGGTCTGTAGCTTGGTTGTAGCTTGGATGCTCAGAGCCTCTTAATTGTAGTAATCCAGGCACTTTGGGAGGTGGAGGTGCGAGGATTGCCTGAGCCCAGGAGCTGGAGACCAGCCTGGCAAAATGGCAAGACTTCATCTCTACAATAAATCAAAAAATTAGCCAGGCGTGGTGGCACGTACCTGTGGTTCCATCTATTCAGGAGGCTGAGGTGGAAGGATCGCCCGAGCAGGTCGAGGCTGTGGCTGTGAGTGTCCTAAAGACAGTTTCACATTTATGTCCATAATCCATCTCAAAATGATTTTTTAAGCCTAAGGTTAATTTTTTCCCAGTGGTTTTTCAGTGGACCCAGCCCTACATGATGATAAGAACACTTTAAGAAAAGTAAACCAAGTGTCTGTTTTGAGTTCTGTTCTGTTCCATTTGTCTGTTGGACTGTCCTTGCACCCATGTCTCATTGTCTTAATTCCTGACCTGTATGGTGTCCACTTGTATACCTAACCCCGAATTGTACCCCACATCTTTAAAATAAAAAAATTAAAATAAAAAGAAAGACTTAGTACCCGATGTTGTAAGCTGTCCAGCTTTGCTCTTTTTTTCCAAGATTACATAGGCCTTTGACTTGGCTTTTCTGTTTAAATCCTTTTTAAAAAAAAAATTAGTCTCACTCTGTCACTCAGGCTGGAGTGCAGTGGCACACTCACACCCGCCGCAGCCTCAATCAGTTTGGGCTCAACTGGAACCACAGGCGTGCATCACCACATCTGGCTAATTTTTAAATTTATTGTAGAGTCGAGGGCTTGCCAAGTTGCCCAGGCTGGTCTCGAACCGGTGGGCTCAGGCGATCTTCTCACCTCGGCCTCCCAAAGTGCTGGGATTATAGGCATGAGCCACCTCGCCCAGCCTCTGTATACGTCTTAAACTGGGTTTATCATTTCCCATCAAAGATTTCGGGATTTTGATTGGGAGCACATTGGCTATAATGATGAATTTATGAAGAATTAACATCATAACAATATCGAGTCTTCCGATGTACACTAAATATTGCTCTACCTAGATCTTTATTTTATTTTATTTTATTTTTTTGAGTTGGAGTCTCACTCTGTCGCCCAGACTGGAGTGCAGCGGCCGCTCCCGGCCACCGCAGCCTCGACCTGCTGGGCTCCGGCGATCCTTCCGCCTCAGCCTTCGGAGTAGCCGGAACTACAGGTGCACACCACCAGGCCCGGCTCATTTTTGATTTGTTGTAGAGACGAGGTCTCGCCAAGTTGCCTAGGTGGGTCTCAAACCCGCGGGCTCAGGCAATCCACTCACCTCAGCCTCCCAAGCACAGGATTACAGGCTGAGTCACCGAGCCCGGCTGAGTCACCGAGCCTGGCTTCTTTAATTTCTCTTAACGGATCTTTATAGTATTTGGTAGAAGAGTCATGACATCCTTCATCAGATCAGTAGTTCTCTGCTTCCCCAGAGGACGTTGGACGATATCTGGAGATATTTTTAGTTGTCCCAATGAGGGAGGAGGCTGCTGTTCGCACCCAGTGGGTAGAGATCAGAGATCTGTAGACGTCCTACAGTACCCAGGGCAGGCCCCCAGAACAAAGGCTGATCTGCCCTGAGATGTCAATAGCACCAAGGTTGAAGAACCCCACATCAGATGTGTTCCTATGGATTTGGTGTTTTCTGGGTGCTTGTACTTGTTTGTTCTATTGCAGCTACACAGTTTGTTCTGTGTATTGATCTTGCACCCAGAGACCTTACTAAATCATCTTATTATTTCACATAAGTTGGCTGGGTGCAGTGGCGGATGCCTGTCATCCCAGCACTTTGGGAGGCTGAGGCAAGAGGACTGCTTGAGCCCCGGAGTTCTAGACCAGCCCGGGCAACGTGGCGAGACCTCTTCTCTACAAAAATAAAAAACGAAAACAACAAAACCTTATCACTTCACATGGGTTATTAGTAGGTTCTTTAGGTGTTTCTATATACATAATTGTAGTCTCTGATTATCTGATTTTAACAACATTTTTACTTCTTTGCTTTCAATATTTGTGTCCTTTCTCCAGCCCCTCACCTCCCCATTCCCAGCGCACCACTGCATTGTTTTCGAGCGCTGGCTATGCCTTCCAGGAGAGTGTTAAAAAGAAGTGGGATATTCTTGCTTTATTTGTCTTTTTTTTTTTTTTTGAGGCAGAGTCTCATTCTGCTGCCCAGGCTGGAATACAGTGGCACAATTGCGACCAGCTGCAGCCTCGACCTGCTGGGCTCAGGCAATCCTTCCACCTCAGCCTCCCTAGTAGCTGGAACCACAAGTGTGCACCACCACACCAGCTAATTTTTTAAATTGATTGTAGAGACAAGTCTTGCCTTGTTGCCCAGGCTGGTCTTGAACTGCAGGACTCATGCAGTCCTCTTGCCTCTGCCTCCCAAAGTGCTGGGATTACAGGCATGAGCCACCGTGCCTGGCTTGTTTATAACCTTATAGAAAAAAATTTTCTGGTTTTTTGGGAGGTTTTATTTATTTATTTTTTTACCATTACATAGAGCATAAGCTGTAGGTGTTTCAGTTGATACCCATTATCCAGTTGAGAAAATTTCTTTCCATTTTTTTCTGAGATTTAAAATATTATGAACATGTGTTAAAGTTTTTTTTCTGTGTCTACTGAATTGACCATATGTTTTTCTTCTTTATTCTATTAATGTAGTAAACTACTTTGATTGAGCTATTTTTATTGTTAAACAACTTTGCCTTTGTGAAATAAGCCCAGCTTTGTTATATTTCTCTTTTTATGAAGCTCAGTACTAGGGAGAAGGGTGAGGGTTTCAAAACTCCCTGGCAGGTACAGTGTTCACTCCTTGAGTAATGGAATCACAAGAAGTCTGGTACCACCAGTATGTAACATGCACATGTAACAAACATGCACGTGTACTCTCTGCATCTAAAATAAAAGAACACATTTTATTTATTTATTTATTTAATTTATTCATTGAGTTGGAGTCTCACTCCATCACCCAACCTGGCTGACCTTCCGCCTTAGCCATCCAGGTATCCAGAACCACAGGCACGTGCTACCACTCCCGGCTAATTTTTGACTTCTTGTAGAGACAAGGTCTCTAGTTGCCCAGGCTGATCTCGAACCCACGGGCTCAGGCAATCCACTTGGCTCGGCCTCCCAAAGTGCTGGGACGACAGACTGAGCCACCGAGCCCGGCCAACACAATTTTTTTAAAAAAGGAAACTTTAGTCTTTGACCTAAAGTTATGATCTTATGTAATTTGTAAGGGTAAATACACATTTTTTTAAAATGGCTAATTTATCCCTATTGAAAATAAGACTGGCTGGGCGTGGCGGCTCGCACCTGTCATCCCATTCCAGCACTTTGGGAAGCTAAGGCGGGAGAAATTCCTGAGACCAGCTTAGACAACATGGCGAGACTTCATCTCTACCAAATAATAATAATAAGCCGGGCATGGTGGCGTGTGCCTGCAGTCTCAGCCGCGAGGGAGGCTGAGGTGGCAGGAGGTTGGCCTGAGCCCAGGATGTGGAGGCTGCGGTGAGCTGTGATAGTGCCACTCGCTCCAGCCTGCGCAGCAGAGTGGG